TGTAACTGTTACAACCAGACACAACCAGATGATTAATACCAAAAAATATTGTTCACAACTGGAACAATTGAAAACAGTTATACAAGAAAAATGTTCAACGCATTTTTTAAAAATGCGATAGAAATGGTTTTAGTTTTATTGAGACGTTTCAATCCATTCAACATAGTCAACAGATCTTGTCCCATCTAACCCATCTTGCTCTATTTTACTTATTTCATACATCACAGAAATCTCTCAATGGAACTCTTTTGCATTTTTGAAAAAAGTAAGATGTTTTTTTAATTTAATAAAATGAAATATAAACTCTCGTTGCTTTTTTTCTAATTGTAAGCAATCTAAAATTCTGACATCCTACATTTTTACATGAAAATCATTTAATTGATTTTTTATCATTCTCCTCATTTTCCCAGACTGTCCCCATTTTCTAACGAATACTGTTAGAATCTCAGTTTTCATTCGGGGTGGACTGTGATCATTCGTCCCTCGAACCATTAAAAAAATAAAAAAAAATAAAAAAAAATAAAAAATAAAAATAAAAATAAAATAGCATAAAATGCTATTTGCGAACATTGTCAAATTATTTTCCTTTTAAGCAGTTGCAACGAAGCTAATACCATGCTTCACAATACAATGATCATTAAGGTTATAACCATTGTGATCAGAGAAGTATATCCGTTTTCGATCGCCGATGAATCCAATGGTTCCGGTCTGAATTGCGTAACTATGATGCGTAATCAATGATACCGATGCGAAACTAATGCAATCATGCGAAATTGAACGAAAGCTAAAGGAATTGTCATTCTCGTGCCGGATTATATAACATTGTTACAATTTTCTATTGTCTTTAAAAAGCGATTAGTTATTAGAATAATTGTTATAATTTTCCTTATACGAAAAATCAAAATAATTGTCATTCACAATTGCAAAGAATTGTTAATTTGTTAATTGATAATCGTGAAGTGTGTCGGTGCTAATACGTGTTTCTTCCAGTACAAAACTTTCATTTTTCCTTCTTTTATTTCATACAACATTATTTCGAATTCGAAAAAGTAATAAACTCGACTTTTAATATGCTATTCGAATAAATAAAGATACTGGAAAAAAAGTAAACGTATTATGTAGTTATGTACGTATAATCTAAGTTGTTGTTTAAAATTGAACTTACACAGGAATTTATTTTATTCTGCAAATATTGTAACATGAATTTTACTTTCAATCTTTTTTATATTTTCGCATATTGTTTGTATTTTGTAGTTACATGCACATTCAAATTTCCAATAAATGCATCAAGATCCGCAGTCTAGTTATTATTTAACTATTCGTTCAAATTACACATGTCTCTCTAATATTAACTAAAAGTGAAAAACGGGCAAGAACGAATTTTTCTTAGACGAACCCGTTTTCTTAGATAGTTGTAATAAATATTTATGTCAAGTTTCACCAAAATCGGAGTGTATCACTTCGCAAGCTTCCCTTGTTAGTATGAAATATATTGCTCTTAATAACAAAAATATTCTTACAAATATTTACTGCACAAGGAAACCATTTGTTTTTAAATATACCGAGAAGCTATAGAATACGGAATTAGACTGGTAATGTTTATACATTTATGGCGAGTGACAATCTGGGAAAATGGAGGAGAATATGTATGAATTCGAAAATTTATAATATATTAACGAAATATACAGGGTGTCCCAAAAATGTTTGAGATCCTTGAAGAAGGTGGTTCGGGAGGTTATTTGAAACAACTTTTTTCTTAGCGAAAATGTTGTACGAGGCTTCGTTAAGGAGATATTAAGAGAAAACCCCGGACCAATCAAATCACGAGTTTGCCGACGGGGGGCGGTCGCCTAGCGCGTAGCCCACGCCTACCGCACTCCGATTGGTTGAGGGTTTTCTGTTAATATCTCCTCAACGAAGCCTCGGACAACATTTTCGCTACGGAAAAAGTTGTTTCAAATCACCTGTACTCTGTATATACAGGGTGACCTAAAAATGTTGTAACACCTTAAAAAGGGTGATTCGGGAGGTGATTTGAAACAACTTTTTCCTTGGCGAAAATGTTGTACGAGGCTTCGTTAAGGAAATATTAAAAGAAAACCCCGACCAATCAGAGCGCGCGTATACCGATGGAGCGCTCTGATTGGTCAATGTTTTCCTTTAATATCTCTTCAACGAAGCCTCGGACAACATTTTTGCTAAGGAAAAAGTTGTTTCAAATCACCTCTACTCTGTATATACAGGGTGACCTAAAAATGTTGTAACATCTTGAAAGGGGTGATTCGGGAGGTGATTTGAAACAACTTTTTCCTTAGCGAAAATGTTGTCCAAGGCTTCAGTACGAAGATATTTAGAAAAAACCCTAGACCAATCAGAGCGCGGGTATACCGATGGAGCGCTCTGATTGGTCGATGTTTTCCGTTAATATCTCTTCAACGAAGCCTCGTACATCATTTTCGCTAAGAAAAAAGTTGTTTCAAATTACCTCTTGAACCACCTCTTTCAATTTGTTACAACATTTTTGGGACACCCTGTATACACGTTACATTGTTTACAAAAAAAGAATTATTTCTATCTATGCATAAACATCCGCAATTTACAGATCTACTATCCCCTCTCCCCAATTTCTGAAGGATCCCAATATCGACTTTAAAATCCTAAAATTCTAAAATTCTAAAATTCCAAAACTCTAAATAACCAAAATACCAAAATTCTAAAAACTCTAAAATTCCAATCGACTGCCGTATCAATCGTCGACCAGTTATTCACCAATCATCAAGTCCGAAGCAACGTTTACGTCATTGCGCACGCGTGTTCCCAAAATTCCGTCTCTCGAAATCTCCTTCCTACACTCGGTCACTATTTTCCTATTTCTTATTCGCACCGAATTCGCACGTTTCCGCCACCTTCCGACCGTCCCGCCCTTAATAATCACATTTCACGATTATAGATTTCACGATTATTCAAATTATAATAATTCAAATTGTATTAGATGAAACGATCGACGATTTAACCGGAGAAAGAGAGAGTTTCGCCGGCACACTGGACAGAGCGTCTGCGAGCACTGACAAATAGGTGGGTCACATAGAGGTTCGAAAAGGAGGAAGAGGGTCACCTTCTTAGGGCGTCTTCCGAACGAGGGTGCGGCATCGTCGAAGAAACACAAATGAAACGCGTGATTGTGGGGGGCAGGTGCATATCGCGTGCGTGTGTTCGTTTGTGTGACGTGAGACAGGTGTGTGCGTGAGTCTCGCCTGCGAACGTTTGCGAGCCGTGTGTACATGGCCTGACCGTCGTCGCGTGACGGTATTATGCCAATTTGCTGAAGAGAGCATGCGATGCACGAGGAAAGAGGAAATGAGCGCAGGGCTGCGTTTATGTTGTATTTTGCGACGGTTTGTCAATGCGTTAATTTAGAACCTATTGTCTATAGGTTGAATCATCGAGTCATTTTGGGATAGAATAAAATATTGGCGGCGACGAAGCACTCTCCACAATTGGAAAAAGTAATGAATAATGAACAAGAAATTTTAGAATCACAGAATTTCGAATCACAGACGAATACGTATATACGATTGTTTCTCGATTACTAGACTCGATGGTAAATTATCTATTAATTTGAAAAAGAAGTAATACAGTAATTGGAAGATTTGGAAAAATTTTAAATAGTGATTCAGGATCAGTCGGTTTCCATTTCTGTAGTTATTTCAATTTCAATATTTCTCGTTCGCGAACAAGCCGCATGGTAATTGATTTTTTCCAGCATGTTTACCATCTACTTACGCACGCAGTGATTTGTAGCTGTTCGATTGTCAGATAAACCATTGCGTGCCGCATGCACAATTAGCCGACAGGTGTATACTAAGCTCTAAACGTTAACAAATTGCTAGTCAATTAGTTCATAGAGATAATAGAAAAATACATTTTAAGAATAATTTCAAGCAGGAGAATATTTCATTGTACAATATTCTTAATCAGTGCTCGCTATCTCGATATCGACGATATTATTATCCAGCAAATTAATTTTCTATTATTAATTTTCAATTTTTCGTTAGGAATTCTTCATTTTCAAAAATAGACGAGTTGACGAATTTTTGTTTTTGATTTTCTTAATTTGTTGGTATTTTTTAGTACCCCTCAAGAGAGGCTTCCTGGTAAATTTTGAGATTTTTTTTATCACTGATTCAAAAAATATCGAAATTTAAAAAAAAATCTCTCTTTTTTGGTTTTTTACTCATAACTTTCTTAATAATGGTCGAAATTCAATTCTTTTCTTTTTCATAATTTCGGATTTTGATGGCCTTTAGAGAAAAAATACAAACAAAAAATATTTAAAGTGTTTTAACCGCAAACTTAGAATCTGATATCAAAATTGCAAAATTCAAAATGGCGGATCCAATATGGCCGACATGTATATTGAAAAGCTATTAGATTTTCATGAAAATTGGTATTTATAAGTTATTTGAGCAGTAACCTTTGAATCTGATATCAGGATTGCAAAATTCAAAATGGTAGATCCAATATGGCCGACATGTATATTAAAAAATTATTAGATTTTCATGAAACTTGGTATTCGTAACTTATTTGAACCGTAACCTTTGAATCTGATATCAGGATTGCAAAATTCAAAATGGCGGATCCAATATGGCCGACATATATAATTGAAAAGTTATTAAATTTGAAATAGCCGAAACTCAATTTCCTTTTTATTACGACATTATTGTTTCTAGATGGTCTTTACAGGAAAAAGATAAAAAAAAAAATATTAAAAATGTTTTTAATCGAGATTTTTGAATTTTAACTTTTCAATCGCATTTTAAAAACTGTGTATATCCTGCGGTTTTCTTGAAGATTTTCTATTTTAAACTACTATACATTCTGCAATTTTTAAGCCTGATCCTGTAGTGGCCTTCCATTGTTACTATTTTTTTTCGATTTTTAAAAATTAAAAAAGCTATTATTTTCTTTTTAACTTTTATAATGAAATTAAATGTACTTACTGGTTTCGTTCTTCTTCGATTCTGTCGTTACAATTCTTGTATTCAATGCACTTGTACTTTTCGTCGTCGTTGTCTCTGTAAAATAGAAAATATTCATTATTTCTGTGCAGTAGGTATAAAGCTAATAAAAGAATATAATATTCATATTTATGCATAGTAAAATAATAAAGTAATAAAATTATTCAACAATTATAGAAATAGAAATAGAAATTGTCGACATTTTCCTAACGAAATTGCAGTCTTTAATAAACAATAGATACGTATAAAATTAATATTAGTAAATAATAAATATCAACATCTGTGTCAATAATTAATATTTGATTATTGTCATATTGGAAGAGACGTGTTCAGTTATTCATACTAATATTATAAACGCGAAAATAACAAGTTAAATAATTAATATAATTACGTAACAAACTCACTACTGAGAATTTCGGTGGTGGTATTTTCTTGCAAGCTGCTCTTATAAATTCGTCTCTTTGGGGAGCCAATGTTTTCTCTGTAACAAGAAAAATGTCAGTAAATTAAGCAAAAATTTCAATTTGCATAATAATTATGCTGCATCACCAGAGCAGTGTATGTTACATAATATACGATACTGGACTATTCATGTACAAAGAATTTATCTACATTGAACTATGATTTTAAAAATATTGAAAATTGACGAACTTCTCTCTTACGCGTATAAACAATTACTTGTAAAATTTAAATTATTGAGGTACAAACGAAACGAAAAGCGGTACAAACATGTACAAACGATTCTAAAGAATAGGGAAAAAACAGATTCTAAAAATATTGAAAATTGACGAATTTTTTTTCTTACGCGTATAAACAA